TTTAAATATGAAACATCTGATTTGTGAAAAGTAAACATTCCCACCTAATTTTAGAATTGGGGATTTTAATTGTAGGGTTCCGTGTAATTTCCACATATTTTAATTCCGCAAGGCCCGAAAATCTTCGGCGAGGCAAGCCATCGCCATCCCTCAAGGCATAAAGAGTACTTTTAAAATAATAATTTATTAATTATAATAAATAAAAAAGAGAAATTAACTTAGATAATTTTTACTTAAAAGTAAAAAAGGAAAAAAAAAAAAAAAAACTTCGCTAATATTTTTGAAAATTGAAAATTGCTTGAACTAGTAAAAGTAACTTCCACCTCACATTTCAAATTGATAAGGTAGTAAACAGACCCATATTTCTTTGTTGGGGGGTTTAAATCACCTTGCCAAAAAATAGTACGAGAAGCAATTCCAGAATGTTAGGTGGCGAGAAATGATTTGATGGAAAAAATAACTATATTTTAAACATCCAATGATAAAATACAATATGACATTATATCAACCATTATGTCAATTTTTGTAGCACTATAACATGATTCCATTTTAATTTTTTTTTTCTTTTCTTTTAGAACCAAAAATTGACTCAAACTTAAAATTGATATAAAAATGCTCTAATCCATTTAGTATCTACAGCATTTTAAATTTAAGACGCACATATTTAAGTAAAACAAAACTCAATCAGCGTTAACAAATAAAGGCTTAAGTTTAGTTTGAGTATAAAAGCACCAAGTTCGAACATGTACCTGTTTTAATTGCAAGTACATTTGCTATTCCAACAAAAAATTATATTGAATATCAAGGTTTTAACTAAGAGAAACCTAAAGTCAATCTTTAGCAAGCTACCGAAGCTCAAGTTTTGGAGGGGTTAAACAGTTGAAACTTTGAGATCATTGGCAAACTTGATAGTCGACAATTTCAATATCCCACTACTACCACCAAGACTTTAGATTGAAAGAATGGAAAAATAGAGTTGCACGAGCTTTTCAGCTCGATCCTACCTGCATATTCACAAAGAAAGCACAACGAAATCATGCCATGCCATGCCATGACAAAGAAACATATAAGAAGGCACTGTGGTCATTCACAACATCTTGTACAAAAAGATTTTACAGCAATAGAAGGTACTTGGTAAAACAACATCCAGTGCTGAATAGAAATGGAAAAAAAAAATGGGATTATTCCCAAGACCGCAGAGATTTGAATCTTCACCATACACGTCAATGCAGACAAATTTATTCGATACACCCAAACAGATCCTCAATGAAGATGGAGTTGGTTCACCAATGTGATACCTTACCCCGCGAAAATAAATAAATGGAGAAAAGGGAAGTAAAGGAAATTACATTGAACTATCTACTGAAGCTTCTTTATTCCTGGAAAGGAAGGCAGCACTGCTATAAGAGCATCACCATACCCAACGGGATCTGTCCAGTTAAAGATCCATCGAAGTGATTAAACAAGTCGAGACCAACATGAAATCTATCATTAACAAAAGCTAAGAGAAAAAAATAGACACACACCACCATCTTGTCGCAGTATCTTAACCACCTCTCCAGGTATGTCCGACTGGAAAAACACCAAGGGAATGAAAAAATTAAGTCCTGTTCTTGACATTTGACTTGAAAGTTAATTAGTATAGACAGAGCCATATTGGTAGTTATGGAGTCAAAGGAGCCCCATAAGAATTCGAAAATAAATGTTTCCATTGAAGGATCCCCTAAAACTTTTACAAAACCTTTAAGAAAACAAATGATGCCGCAGTGTTCCTAAGTTCTGCGATGTATAAGTGGATGAGTTTATGGAATTCCAATCCAAAGAAGCTTCACTAGTTGATTAATTTACAATGATTTACATACATTTTTACTTGACAATATGCACTTGAGGTGGACCCAAAATCATTTACAATGTCCAAAGTATTTAGGATTCAATCTTTTTATTTGACTATTCTTTTAAACAAGACCAAAATTAATTCCATCTCCGTTCGAACGAATAACGACTACTTTAAAAAGTTAAATTTCTGTAACTTTTATATTTTGTAAAAAAATGTTTTATGTAAAAGTTAGTTTTAGAAATATGTGTACATAATTAGATGGATTATGCTACACGTACATAACGGTTTACACCCTCCTTACATGGATCCCGCGTAAAATAAATCATAATTTATCTTACGCAGGCACCCCTCCATGTGAGGAGGGTGTAAACCCTTATGAACATCCGAAAGTGTACAAGTAGTTTAATCCTAATTAGATACATGGCATTTAGTGTATCTGATTATTCACATATATGTTAGTGACCCCAACCCCAATTTAAGTTTCTGGCTCCACCTGAGTGGGACTCTTCTAGTGATCAAAAGAGAAAAGATCGAAGGGTATAAATTACACCAGTACGTAAAATTTATTTCCATATGCTAATGCTAATCAAAGTCAGGCAATAACCTCAATTGGGATCTCACCACCTAGCTGTTCAATGTAGCAGAGCACCTGGCCCTCCTTCACTATGTCTTTCTGTAATGTTAACCATAAAATTAATCGTGTAAACAGAAGAAATAAATTGTGACTTAGAGCTAAGCAATATCATAGTAACAGGCAGGCAATGCAACAGTAGTAACCTTTTGTCAACTAAACCAAAGCTATATGTGCAAAACAACATGATATTTCTCTCCATAAGAATAACCAAAGCTCAATGTGCAAAACAACATGATATTTCTCTCTCCGTAAGAATAATATATGGGTTCATAAAATATTTAAAAACACAAAAAAAAGATGATCGCTCTTGTTGAGAGAGAGAGAATTAAGACATAACAAGATGCCCATTGCCCATCTATGGTAATCAAATTTTTATAAATGATCTGCCATTTATGTTTTTGGCAATTATAATAATTGTTGTTATAAATGAACATGAAATGAAAACTGAAGATAAGTTGATAGAGAGTAAACAGATACCAGAATAACAAAAGATAACTTATCAAGCATCTCAGAATCTGACATATACTTGATGGAGCATATAGGATAACACAAAGCATAGAGAATAATACATTTCATAATTTTTTTCATGCCTTAAAAGCTCAATAGACCAATTTTTTCACGATTCTTTGAAGATGTTTCATTTTTTTGATAATGCAATAAAAGTAAAACATGCACAAGCCCAAAATCACACAATTTTTTTTTTTTTTTTCAAACCCAATAAGAGGGACTAACCAGAAACGAAAACAAGGTATAATCATAAATGTGCAAAGAAAAATGATTTCTCAGTAAAAGGGTCCTTCACACCATTTTAGAGAATAAAAAGAAAAATAAAAAATGATGCATTTTAAAGCCACGCCACTACATGTCAGGTATCCCAAGAGATTAAATGGATAAAAACTTACTTCAAATTCATTTATACAGACTGATATGAATTAACAAACCCACGAGAAACAGATACCTCTTTGCAAGATGGAGGAGCCCGCTTATCTTTAATGGTTCGAGATCTCCTAAAATATCCAACCTGCATCAGATATAAAATTAGTGCTCCGAACATCCTGAAAAAGGTATCCATTTAGTAAAACAGATTCACCCTCGGAGATTGAAGTATCAACAGGCCATCATCCACCGCTCTATCCAGCAATGTCTGAACTCCAACTGAGGAAGGTGCTGGTTTGGAGAGGGCCAATGATTGTGATGAGGCTGAACCATTTGAATCAGGAGTCTCAAAAACCGTATGGGCAGTGACTGGAGCGGAAACAGGAGGTTGCGGAGGTGCACTTTGCTCAGATAAGTCTCTTGTCACATGTAATCGAAACCCCCCAAGCTAAGTATAAGCAAGAAATAAATAAAAAGAATGGGAAGATCAAAAAAGATAGAAAGACACATAAAAGGATATGGAGCTTTCAAATCTGCTAAAAAAAAAACAACATTTGACGCAGGACAGTACTTCCTAGTGAAGTTGAAATGAAGTTTTTCCAGATAAGGTATAACCATCCTCGTTTCTTTTTCCTTTTTTCAACCAGTGGGTGGAGCCATTTGTTCGAGGATATTCAAGAAAGACAAAAACCACTCACTTTAAGTTCAAACTTAGCAATTGATGTTGTGTCACATAATTCTGTCAGTAGATATTCCACCTGCAAGATGATATTTAAGTAAGATGACCGTCATTTGATTATAGAACCTGTAGTGCATTCATAGCATTGACATGTGCAAGAGCAAGATATGTTGTACAGAGGACTTTAAAGGCAAGAAATACTTTCCTAGAACTTGGAAAAAGCAGTTGTCAAGACAAAACAAGAAAGACGTAATAGGATACAGAAAAACTATTAACAAAAAAATCAAGAGAAAAAAGACAATAAATAATAAATCGGGATATTTATAAAAAGCAGAGGAAGAAGATAAAAAATCATAATTAAGCTCATTTAGAATGAATTTTTCATTTTCGCTTCTCTTTCTTTTATCAGGTACCCATCTACAGAAGGTAAAGATAAAGCAATGGAAACTTATATGAAAACTTCTTTCTTTTTTCCAGATAAGAGAGTATAGAATGCTGATGGTGTTAGCACTAGGTAATACCATCTAAGTGGTGCACATTGCAAAATAATTTTTTAAGTTGTGCTGTTGCCTTTCAAAATTTTAGTGAAGGTTTTCCTCATTCGCCAATATAAGTAAAATAGCATTTCTAAACTAGAAAATCACTAGTCATACTATAAAATTTAAATTAATTTTTAGTAGAGCTCCAAATTCTCTTAAGCAAAGGCCACAGAAAAGAAAACAAATAATTGAGATACCTAATAATTGCTGATGTATAGAGTTAATAGCCATGCACGTAACAGCAACTCACCTCAGATGATTTTGGAATAAGTTTGCTTACTGCACCGGATGGTTTGGTTTCTTCACAACAATCCTCAGTATTTGCAGTAGTCGTTGCTGATTGAAACAAACAGGTGAAGTTGAGAAGAAAGGAAAAGAAAAATTGTTGAAATTGCGGATATGTCTTAGTCAGAAGATTTATATTGGAGAATACTACACCCAAAATATACAAAAAATGCACCACACCCCTTTAATTTTCTTTTACTATTTGACCCTTTCCTTTTTCAGATAGCGAGAGGAGGATTTCCTTCTGGCATACTAGTTCATTAAAAATCCTCTTCGGGGCACATTAGCATTTAATCAAATTCACATCCAAAAACAAACGGACTATCAAACAAGATATTTCCAGCCAAAATAGTGCACGATCACATTTACAAAGGGAACAGTACGGTAGATATTACAACCAAAATTACTCGAAAGACTGATACAGCAAACATTAACTAGTAGAAACAAGAAGATCAATAGTGACCATAATAATCATTTTAACAATCAAGCATGCGGTGGATGATGAGAAGGAGATGCAGATATATTAGAGGTCAACACTGACTTCCAACTTTCTTCCATATTTCATCAAGAGAAATATCTCTTTTGAAAATCAATTTCCCGAGATGACATTTGATTTCGGCAATCAAGTAAACCTTATTCAATATATAAACATGGCTATAACATCCATCATATAGTCTTGAAGCTTATTATATGCAAAAAGTATCATCTTCTTATGCTTGTCCCAAAATTCCATCATTCAGATTGAATTTCTTAGACGTGGCCAGAACATAAAATGTCCCTCTTTTGGATGAACAATATTGTCCATTTCTAACGCTTGTAACTTTTAGACTAGTAAGTTCAACACTTCTCTTGTCAGTTGCATTGCATCTAGTTGGCCATCCACATAGATGACCATCGCCACATCAATTCTTCTTCATATATCACGAGCCTAAAAATGGATGGACAGGAAACAATGAATAGATGCTGTTATCTTTACCCAATTCCTTCTATTGGTCCTTAAAGATGTGCCACAAAACCACCTTATCAGAAACATGGCAGATAACCTTAAGTCTAGTAGGAGTGACGAGTAAAGTAAATGGCCAATTATTCATGGACATTTTGCACACATTCAATAATATTTTTTCATAGAATGCTGACTGTCGCTATAAAAGTTAGCCAAACCGAGAAAAAATCGGTATAAACAAGTTACAAACTTACAATCAGCATCTGAAGTCAAACTGCGCCACCTAGTTAATTCCTTCTTTGATCTCTGTGACAGCACCAGACCATCAAATCGAACCGGACTACGAGTCCTAAAAGCAAGGAAAGGCTGCAATGTGCTCAATTTGGGTCTAACATAACCCAAATCCAAGTTTTTTATCTTAAGACCTGAAGCCCCAATACCACCTGAAGCAAAAATCAGCACGAAAATTTTAACTTCTATGTAATTATCAGCAATGCATAACTTATATAAAACAAGAAACCAATAAAGAACAACCCATTACAGAAACACTAATAAAACATGATAAATCATCAAAAGATAATATTTTTAACAGAAAAGAAATCATTTTACACGCTTAAATTTGTAGCCACAAACAGGTGTGTACTGTGTACCTATGAACACACACACACACACACACACACACACACATATATATATATATATTGATTGAGAAAGAGCTTACATGCAGCCATACGAAAGTGAAGAAGAGTTTTGTGGCCGATGTGTAGGAGCAGAAGAGGAATGAGAGGATTTTTCGTAGAGATTTGCTGCTCGACGATGTTATCGAAGAACTCGGAAATAAATAGGACATAGCCCTCCATTTGATATTTGCTTTTTCCTCTGCAGTCCCCATAATTTTGCTCGTCTAACAACTTTGTCCTTTTTTCTATTTTTGTTTTGGTTTTGATTTTTGAGTTGTCACAAGTGTAACGACAATTACGGTCCTTAACCCTATTTTGATTTTCAATTTCTTTAACAAGGTGGTCCAACCTTACATTACGGCTTACTTAGTTGTCATCACACCCAATCCGATGAGACCCTAAACATGGACCACGTGACAAACAATTAGCAAATAAAATCAGACTCACACTCCACATCACTAACCTATGTGACCTTGACAAACCCCCTGGATGAGATGAGGCCTTTTTAGTAATCGAAGTGACGTAATCCACGAAACCCTCATGTAAAGGCTAAAACTCCATGGATGAGACAAGGTGAGGCGATGCGAAGCATTGTAGCACCAATCCGAAGCGAATAACATCTAAACGTATGTGCAAAGTTTCCAAAAATAATTGATCACAAACGCTATTCATCCCACCTCCCCTTTACCACCACCTATACCAACTGAATGTTGTGCCATCTCACCACCACAACCCCTAACCACCATTTGTAAACTATGAACCATCACCACCATTTGCAAACCACCCAAAAAACTCCGACGCTACTTCACGTGCAAAGTGATGAGCGTCACTGCGCGTAGCACTGCACATGTGCTAGAGAAGTGATAGGCATGGCTGAAGGGACTGGAGTATATGACTTTTTTGTTTGGATAATCGGAGCCAAAGAATGGGTCGGAATCCATGACTTTTTTGTATAGGTGGGAAATGATTTAGGGTTAAAGAGTGGGGTGAGTGAGGTGGATAGGTTATACTTAATTTTTGAAAGAATAAAGTAAAAACTTGATATTTGAAATGATAAGCCAAAAACTAGGGCTATATGTAATTTCCACTAAAATTAAATTTGAATTGTTAGAGCAGGTTTGACCCAATGGGTACTTATTTATGCCCCAAACCTAAATTTTTTAAAGGTTAGGCCTTTACGCATATAAGGGCAGTAGGGTCTGAGGACTCCAAGCGCTTCATGGCCTAGGTCTTTAGATGGATAGTCCTAGAATAGGTCCCGACTGAATCCATGGTCAGATATAAGTGAGTCAAACCTTATGGACAGTCGTCCCAAATGTCAACCCAAATGTACGCATCTACACATACATGGTACACAAGTCTGATTCTATACACTAACAACATCATCCAAAAGATCATTTATTTTTAAAGAGTAAAATTTATAAGTAAAATTTCGCTGGGTTTCCAATCTTTCCCTTTTTAACAATTTCATTCACATTCAATTTTTATACATTATCTTATCCCAAACTTTCATTTATTCGTACATATTGTCCTTATTGATAGAATCCATCAAAATATTATTTTAAAATGTTGTAAAAAGTCATTCTTGACCTTAACTTTAAATATATAAAAAAAGTGCAAGAAAGCAATAGAAAAAGAAAAAATTTTAAAAAAAATGTCTTCCTTCTTTACCTATTGGGCACTCCCAAATAGGGGTGTTAAATGAAGTGAACCATTCGCCCCACATAAACCTCTTCCTTCTTCACCTATGTCCATCACCAAGTAGGGAGTGTTAAGTGGGATGAGCCATTCGGCCCACAAACTAGCCGAGCTACAAACTCGCAAGCTGGCTTATAATCTATGAGTAAAAATATATTTTTTGGTAATAAAAAAATATGGTGAGCCACCCCCATAAAGAGTCGAGTTGATGGGGCGAACCAAATCAAAATTTTTTGAAATGAGGTCGCTAATGCTCGGCTCACTCCATATAGGAGCGTGAGCTAGTTCGTATGGTAAGCTAACTTGTGCCCGATAATGGGCGAGCAAGTAGCTTGGTCCAATCCTTTTAACATCCTTACCCCAGCCCCCCCCACCCAAACAAGGCCCAGGATCCATCGCACTCATTGTCCCCAAACTTAACTTAAACTTGTGATCCACAACATCGCTGCTATATTTTCATATGTCGTTGACACGACCATCTTCCATCGAATTGCACGGGCTTCAATAAGAGAAAATTAATTAGATAAAACTATTGAGAATGATTCTTTCAAACCAAAAGAATTCTTGTAGTATATCACTCATCTTATGTCGGCCAATTTCTATACGATAACACTAGAAATGGAATCTCAATTATGCCCCTACAGTGCCATGTTCATATATCATACTTGTTCATAAGATTTCTCTAGCACACTCATTGTTCAAAGGAAAATGACTTCTATGATTCAAGGGAGACTTTTTGGAGAAAGATATTAGATTCAATTTATAAACTAATAGAATAGATTGAGCGAAAACCTACAATCGATATATCCGCAGCTATAATCTGTTCTTAGGTTGCTATTTTTCTTTAAGTTATCTCTTTCTTTATGGGTTTTTCCAGGCTTCTAAAAGTTAGATCAAGATTCTTTTGTGGCCAATAATACATCAAGAATAATAAGTTCGTTGTACGTTACCTAATATTTGTTGCCATAGTTGAGCCTCGGCCTCTATTCACGAGTCATCGCAAGATATAATATGAATGGCTAGTTGGAATATGTAAACTACTTATGATCACCAAGTGAGTCAATTTCTTCAATCCCATAGAATTTTCTCTACAATAATAATAGCAATATTCCTTTAACTGTCAATTATCAATATTCTTATTTGAACAAAATCAAGAGTGTTCAATGGATTTCAAATGTTATCTTGTGAAATAAAATATACTCGTGTTTGGAGGTGTAGAAGCAAGTTGTTCTTCCTTCAATGGAAGATGCAGTCAAATCAGTCGTGGGAAAGTTGTAAAACAAGAAGAAATGGGTTATCTTCAAGGACTCATGTCAGATAATGATTCAAGAAAATAAAAAGTTCATTCTTGATTATGGAAGTCTTAATGGAGATAACAATGGAGACCTATTCCTCAAATATATTGAACAAAAACCAAATGAGGTTTTGGGGAACAACCACTCCATCCAATTATTGTTGGGAAAACTTGTTACCGTCATAATGATCGTTCATATTGGATCACTAATAATTTATGAATCAAAACGGAAGAGTATCTGAATCAGACATGGTTAATATAATGAATGAATCCTGTGGTTTTTTAGTCTTCCAGATCAACACGTTTTTTCTTTATTTCTCTCTGATAATGGGAGTNTTTAATACACAATAATTTACATATAAGCCCATATGATCGATTAAAAATCCTTACATCTCCCATTTGGGCTATATGTGTTACCTTATAATTGTACACTAAACATAACCTTATGAGTACTCAGAATTTTACTATCATTACCGAATGTATCCCCAAACATCCATCAATCATATGAACATAGGATCAAAGCAGCTTTCGCTACTTTTATCGTAACTAAACCCCTCAATGATCACGTATATCGACATAACTGAATAACATGGATCAAACATGAAAATTACATGCGATGTGATCTTAACATGCTTATTTCCAACTGGTCTACCTTAATACCTTAGTGGGATCATTTTTAAACAAATTTAGAGATAACAAACCAAAATAAACTTAAAAACCGAAAATTATTTTAACCATAAACCATATTCATAATGACAGTACATGTGTCTAAATGAAAAACACAGAAATACAAACTCCTACTGAAACTAGATATCATCAAGAAACATTACACCCATAAGGGCAGTGTGTTCATGAAAGAAATTGGGTATTAATCCTTTAGTAAGGAGATTCGTAACCATGGAGTTTGTTTTGATATGCTCTATTGACACATGTCCACTCTGAACTCTTTCTTTAACAGCCGCAACTTGATCTCTATATGTTTTGACTTCGTCGA